GAAAGAGTGGAAGGGGGACGCGTGGGAGGCTCGGGGGTGTTCCTCGGTGACCGTGGTCCCCAACAGCGCTTGTGGGGGTTTTGTAGGGATCTTTGCTCCTTTAGCTCATACAAATTCTTTGCAGCTGCAGCAGCTGAACTGTGCATTGTGTGAAAAACCACTTCTTTTGAGGCTTTTTTGACCTTCTGTCTCCTGTTTTTGCGTGATGATCCCTAAATTTTCAGTGAAAGAAGCAGCAGGCAGGGGATCCTTGTTCATGCAGTGCTGCTCTTGACTTTGTACGCTTCTGTCTGAGCCCTTACTTCTCCTCCAGCCTAGAGGCTGCCCATTCCTTGTCCGGCGCCGTTCCTGTCGCTGTCCTTGTCACCCTTTTCTGTATTTTTACCAGTTGTGCTGTGACCTCTCCGAGCTGAGGGAGCCGAACTGCATGTGGTATTTGAGGTACTCTTCCTCTCCTGATCATCCCAAACACTTAGTCAGGTTTTTGTTGCGATGGGGATGTCTGCGACAGCGCCTGCTATGGCTCCGGCCTCGCCGAAGCTCAGGTGTACCCCATCATCATCCCGCTGCGGTGTTCCTGTGCCTGCGGAGGACGGGCACGGTCACACGCGTTGCCTCAGGCTCCCGAATCCGTGGCTGTAGCAGGAGCTGGAACTGGGGAACCTCCCCGTGTCGCTGGGCAGTGTCAGTGGCGGATGAGGGTGAGCCATGGCGGTTTGTCCGGCGCAGCAGAGCAGCCCGAGCCCTTCCAGCGGCCTGCGCGTGCTGGCCAGTGGGAACGTGCCCTCGGGACAGGTCTTTGGCTGCCAGTCCCATGGCCCCTGCCCTGCCTGGGTGCCGGGGGGTGAGGAGATCTCAGCCCCCCGAGACAGAGAAAACGGTTGTTGGTGAAGTTGCTGGGGGTGCATGCACCGGGGTGCCGGGCACGGTAACTTGTGCCGTGATTCATCCCAGTTTTCCAGGGCAGACGTGGCTTTCGGGAAGGTTTGACAGGCCCCGCGTCCCGAACTGTCTGCCTGAAGACGGCTGCTGGGGCCGGGCTCCGCGGCGCTGTGCCGCCTGGCATCCAGAGGATGCAGCTCCGGCTGCTCTGCGGTGGCCGGGGAAGGGCCGCAGGGCCCGGCTCCCTGGGGAACCCGCTCGCGGTGTGGAAATACCGCTGCTGTGAGCAGCCCAGGTGGGATTAGTGTCCCAGGAGGTAGGGAAGGGAAAGGGGAAAAGGTCGGCCGGTGCTGGGAGAGCAGGGGGGTGAGGAGGGACGACGGAAGGGAACGGCAGCAGCCGCCTTTCAGCTATGGCCATCTCGGTCAGGGCAACCCTGCTCCAGCTTCGCGTATCGCATCTCGAATCTGCTTACTGGGTACCAGATCCTGAAGCTCTGCTTCGGCTGAAAAGTCCTCATTAACATTTTGGGAATACATTAATTCCCTTCCTTTCCTATTCCAACCTGCTGACTTTGATTGGCACTATTTTTTACAATAAATGCTTAATTAAAGGCATAATGACTGTATAATGATTGTATTAAAAGCAAGATGATTATAAAAATCAGCTTAGCAGCTGGAGGCTGCAGGGCTGGAATAGCTCGGAGCAGAAATCAGTGCGGCGGTGCTGTGGCGGCTGTGCTCGCACGTTGATTATACGCAGCGTCTCTGTTGCCGTTGCGCTCGCGGACCCCCAGTCCGCCCCCAGCCCCCTCGCTCTGAGCACTGTACGGGATTCACCGCAGAAATACCTTCTGCCTTAAGCGATTTCAGCCTAAACCAGCAGTAGGTGGGGGAAAGGCAGATGTGCCATTGCTGCCGGGAGTGCTGCAGATGAGGAGCAGAGCTGTGGGGTGGAGGAAGCTACAGAGCGTAATGCTCTTCTGCATCAGCACCAGCTGCAGCCTCAGGTCCCTGCTGGGCTCCGAGTCCCACAGACCAACGAGCCAAGTTCAAGGTCTGGGTCCCTCTCTGCAGGGCACAGCACATCCCTGACCACCACAAGGAGCCTGAAGTTCTGGGCTGAGACCATGACTGACCGCGTTGCTCCTCGGGCACAGTGACACTGTCCCCAGCCAGGGTGAGACGTGCCGGTTTAGGGACAGCTTGCTGCCAGCTCGCCAGTCTGCCCTCCTGGCGTCACTGCCTCCTGCTCCGGGCACCACCGCTCCTTACTGGGCCACCTCTGCGACCGTCCGGACATGGTCCCTGTACGACCAAATCGGGTCCTTCTCTGCCCAGTCACCAGCTCACTCCCTGCTCGTGCAGACCTTGCCCCTGAGGAGAGATGGGCATGGAACGTGACAGTTGGGTGCGTTGGCCACCCTTTGTGGTGTGTCCTTAAAGCACTGATGAGCATGACATGAAACTCAGATAGAGCAGAGGTGACCCAGGAGAGGGAGCGTGACAAACCCAGGCAGAGCCTGTGGGTTGTCTTCTGTTGGACCATGTGCTGTGCTGCAGGACCGTGCAGGGCCAAGGGCAGCGTCTTCTGGTCTTACCCCTTCTGTACCGGCTCCTGCCCTTCCCTTCTAATGGCACTCAGGTGGATCCCATCTGCTCCTGGAGACTTTTCAGGTCCCCAGGCCTTGAGCTTAATTGCTTTTACCTGCCGGCATCTGAAGGTGCCAGGAAAGTTGCAATGCAGTCGGTGACAGATGGTGCAAGCGAGGGTGGTCTGAGCTTTCTCTGCCGTGCCAGTTCCCTCTTTGTGCCCGTTCTTCAGGTCACGTCCCCGTTCATCCATAATGATCTCATCTCCTCCACTGCTATATTTGAGCTCTGTGCCACCTCAGATCTCATTTGGACCCAGCTGTGCTCTGTTCCTCCGCGGGAGCTGGAGCCCCAAACCTAACAAGGTACAGGAGAGGCAATTTAGAGAGAGCCCCTCGCCCCAGACTGTTCCTTGTGCCGTGCCTGGGTCAGGGTAATCTGTGAGAAAAGCTGAAGGTTGCAAATGTAATAAAGCATAAACACTTAATATGATGTTCAAGGGCAGTTTTAATAAAAGTTGCGAGCTATTTTAGTGTGGTAAAGCAATGGTAGGAACAGGCGCTGAGAGGAGTCCTTTTGGGTTCTTGCTGTCCAGAGATGTGTCCCCCTGAAGTGGGTTACGTCCATCGAAGCGCAGGTTGTGTTCGTAGCAGAAGCTGTTCTGGTGGTCCTGGGTGGGAAATGTCGTGTCTCTGGCTGGGAGCGTTCGAGCACAGGTTGTGCCTGCGGGCAGGCGCTGCCGGGAGGGACTGGGCACTGTCACTGGGTTGTCACCAGCGCCACCACGCTGTGCCGCCGCAGGGGAGGCTGCGGGTCTGCGGAGCTGCTCTGCTTCAGGGTGTCCCTTTCGCGGGGACAGAGGGGGCGCAGAGCTGCCACCACAGACCTGTCCCTGGACTGCCCGGTGCGAAAGGCTGTGGGGAGCCAGTGTGTGCAAACCTCTGCCAGACCCGTCAGGCTCGTTTGGTTTGTGTTCTTCTGACCTGGGCTGAGCAGCGTGCTGGTCCCGTGCCTGTGCTCTTGGGAACAGGACGAGTGGTGATTTCTGCTCCTCGGGCACGCAGCGTAGTCCCCAGAAAAAGCAGTGCTTCTCTTTTTACGGGCAGAGCTGGTCCAAGCTTGGGGAAGAAACTCTTGCGGAAGGAACCCAGCACAGCCTTACTGCCCTCCGCTTCGGGCCCAGCTGCACGGACCGCCTGGGCAAGTGGCTGCTGCAGCACTTGGCTGATGCTTTGGACCACTGTAAAATGGAATTCTCCTCAGGATTTCATCAGGAACAATGAGGAAACACACCCCACCCCTCTTCTTTTATTTCTAATGCAGCAATGAAGGTTTTCCTTCCTTTTTGTCCTTCTCTGTTTTAAAAATCGTTTAGACATAAGCCACCACGAAGGCAAAATAGTAGGGTACCAAAAAAGTCACGTCCGTCATCTTGGCCTCTTCCTGTATAGGGAGCAGATCTAAGTGCCTCATCCTCAGAGTTCGCTTTAGTTTGGGGGTCTTTTTTGTCCCTTCTTCTTGGGATGATTTGCGTTTTCTGCCTGACTTGGAAGTCTACGATCTGGCATGCTGAGTTACTGCCGAAGTCCATGACTTTAACACTGTTTCCGCTGGCTTTGCTGTTCTGAAGATGCTTCGAGAGCATCCTCTCCTCAGGAGCCACACGCTTGACCAGGTAGTCTTCTCTGCTTGTTCGTTTCAGCACGGCAGGCTGCAGCCTGTGCTCAGGCCACCACATGCAGCTGCACTATTCACTTTTTTCATCCACTGGTAACTATAAATCGTACCAACAATTTCATGGGATCACTGGAGGCTGCAGTTTGAGCAAGCCAAGGCAAAGGCTGTACGTTGTTGGGTGTTCGATACCCTACACCGAGATGTCCTGTGCCCAAGACTAAAAGCATCTTAAAACCTGCTCTGCTGTGATGGTAGTTTTAAACTATTAAGATTCTTAGTGAGATAATTCAAAGGGGGATTTTTGGTCTCATCTGTATGGTCTGAATATCTGCTCTTATTTGCTATCTTAACCCCTACTGTGATTTAAGGAAGGAGAATTTCAAAGAGACAGGAGTTCCTCAGCCTTATTAATTTTTCTTCTTTGTTTAAGGGGGAAACATTATTGGGCTGCAAGAGTAAACTTACATAGTAGACTCTGAAACTGTCCTAAACTGATCATTTTCACTGACGGGTTTTTGGCCAAGATCTCCACGAGCCACCAAGATTAACCTGTCTCTGGTCATAGAGAGCACCTGCAAACTCAACAGAGGGGAGTAAGTGAGAGAGAACCCACCGACTTTCTTCCTGCTCTGTGGAGAGCTGACATTTTCATGGCGTGTCTGAAGACTCTCCCCACCTGAGCTGACACTTTCTGTGTTGGATTTCTTTCTGGAGTAATTTGTTTTAATATTATAAAGAAAACGTATAACCTTTGGGTGAGATAAGTCCACTTCTTTTGCTTTGAGACTTTTTTGTCACCGTGAAGTAATAAGGTAGGGGAGATAGCCGTGGTTGAAGGATGCCAAATGGCCCTCGTGGAGGAGCAGATACACGAACCCTGTTTGGGCAGGAATGACTGGGAGCTGCTGGAGGAAGCTTCACGTGCACGTACGTCCTGGTGTAACCCGGCAGTGGCACAGCGAACCAGGTGTTGGTTCTTGGGAACAGGATGAGTGGTGATTTCTGCTCCTCGGGCACGCAGCGTAGTCCCCAGAAAAAGCAGTGCTTCTCTTTTTACAGGCAGAGCTGGTCCAAGCTTGGGGAAGAAACTCTTGCGGAAGGAACCCAGCACAGCCTTACTGCCCTCCGCTTCGGGCCCAGCTGCACGGACCGCCTGGGCAAGTGGCTGCATTGATGTTGTCTGCATTTTTGCTGCTGAAATGTTGGTGTGGCCAACTGCTCTGAACATAAGTGTAGGGCTCCCTGAGGGGAGGTGCTGAGGAAGAGTCCGGCTGTGGAAAGCATGTTGGGTGGAGGCAAGACCTGGGTAGAAGTTCTCACCCGAGTGGTAGAGCCTTTAGGGCAGGTTACACTTCCACAGCAGACTTGCTGGGTCTACAGCAGAGAGAGGTGTGGAGTGCCCTTGTTAGGGAGAGTTACACACATGCGAAGGGCTTGGAGAGGGTCCAGCCTCAGGATAGATGTAGAACTTCCCATTGGAGAGCAAAAGGCTTTCCTTGAGGAATCAAAACTGCACTGGGTTGTGCTTCTGTTCGCAGGTGATGTGGGACTGGCTTGTTGTCCACGCATAGTTCTGCAGCGTGTTTTGAGATCTATGTTGGGGTAGGTGTATTCGGTGGGATGGTGGATGCGTCTTTGGAGCACAAGACCCGTATATCCGTGCCTGGCTGACAGGAGGACTCCATTTCCATGTTGTGTGCAGACTCCGGCTTCTCATCTGTTGTCAGTAAAGGAGCAAGTGGTGTCTAACGAAGGCTTGTTCAAGTGTAACCAGGGTCAGAAGCCTCCCCAGGGCATCTCAGTGGAAGGTTATGAGGCTGGTGGACAAACCGTTTTTTTGGTTCATCTGGAGGTCCCATATGAATCTCTCCTATTTTCCCTAATTTCTTTAACTGCCAGCTTGTCTCCCCTTGGCTTTTTATTAATAAACCCAAGTGAAATCTGTTGTTGTGATGAAAGGACCCTGCAACATCTGCCAGATGGATTGTACGCAGTCAGTTTATTAATTTGATG